CTGATCCAACTTGTTGATTAACTTGACATATTAAACAGAAATATAAGGAATTTAAATACATTAATCCACAGAGCTACTGCACATATTTCAATTCATACCTAAACCAGTTTCAGTAAGTAGAGCAGCAGATGCTTGCTTTTAAAAGTAACCTGTTTCTCTTGAGGGAACCCTGCTAGAGACTTCCCAGAGGAAGCTTACAACATGACTTYATTTAGGAAAATTACAAGCCTTTAATGTTTCCAGGTAAACCATCATCATGTTTTGTTAGATGATACAAAGTTTCTAACACACCAAGACTGAGTTCTTTCTTCATTCATMCGAGTGGTCATTAAGCAAGTTTTCCTCCTAGAATCACTGCGCAAGAGGAAACTGCCTTGAGAATAACTGACAAATTAACAGTTCTTATTAATACTGACTCACTGACACAACACTGAATGAAGTCCAGAGTTCAGCCCCAAGATGAATGCAATTCACTTTTGTTAATTCTTTATCAGGCTGTTCTGGACACTTGTCYACAATTGGTGCCAAGGGACACACATCACTTGGGCGTAGGTCTGCACTACTAACTGTGCAGCAAGCAATGGCCACTTGACACAAACTTTCAGTTTAAAAGGGGTTTCAAATACAATTGTAACTAATGTTTTGAAGGATAATAATGAAACATACAGATTAGTCAATTTCATTCCCAACATAATAGTATTTCTAWTAGCAACCTGATAACATGAGTGGATTAAGCTTACAAAATAGGCACACAAAAACAAGCACTGATCAGAGGCAAGAATTTAGAAGGTCAAGATAATTCTGRATTTTGACCTCAGCTGATTAGGAAGAGGTCCCAAAATCAACAACGATACTTAATAAAACAGAAAGTAATACACTCCAAAATGGACACTGAGTGCAGGAAAACAGGCAGCAGAAATGGAAAAAGATTATAGCAGCTCTCTGATACTGGGTCAATAATGTCAAACTGCCACAAAAGTGCAACTGTTTGTCGTGAACTGCACCAACAGAACTGCTTTGTATGGAAAGAAAAGCAATTACTCTGCTCTGCCTAAATAAATGAAAASTACCCTGCTCTATGTGCTATCTTGACTTTTAACTGAGACCCATGTGCAGTTTTTTTCTAAGTCTATCTTAATGCATAATCCCCAAATGGAAGAATCTAGATAAGAATTACATGACCTAAATAAACCAACTAAGGGATAAAAGAATCAAGTCTGCTTTGCAAGGAACTGTGAAAGAGAGAAGTAAGGATCAGACACATTTATCTCTTATCTTCAAGGTGTCGTTTTAAAAAATTTTAGAAATATGTTTATTTTTTAAAAATGCTATTAATTTATAACTATTAGAAAAATATATTAAATACATTATTATTTTAAATAATTTTTTTTGTAATGCTGGAGATGAACCATTCTCAGTATTTCCTGGCTGCTGGTTACCTGTTTGCAGTTATACGGTTGAAGAAAAACAACCTTCCAGTTACAAGGATAAACAAAAAAAATGTAAAAGGAGGTTGTAAATTATCATAAAAAATCCGGAAAAACACCAGAGGCAGTTTTTCTCAACCCAGACACGTCTACAAGGTGTGAGCTCATGTCCCCTTCAATATTAAGCCACATTTCTATACTATTATATTCAAATCTGTACCTAGGTTATGKAATATTAAATCTGTGGCAGCCTAAGATGCTTTGCCTTCAATTCAGGTAGAAATTTTTTCCCCCAGACCAGGACTTACATGTTTGTATACTTTACAGAAATGTGAAATACTGTTATATCTG